CTTTATCGGTCGTGCGTGACGCGATCGAACCTTATGTTGTATGACTAGTAACGTCAAACAATTATTTACTTCGTCCCGCATCAGCAAACAATAATGTTGACACGCTTTATAAATCAAACGTAAATATTGCTTAGTGTAGAGAAAGGTTAATATGGTATAATCAATTTCATATAAGTACAAAAAACATGCGTAACTAAAATCCTATCCATGTTTTATAGGTCTTACTAAATAGAAACATGACAGTATTTTTATGTGTTTTCTAAGCATAGAAGGATGGTTAAAACTGTAATTTTTACCCTAATAATATCTAAGTAATCCAACTTATACTATCTTCATACTTAGGTGCTGTGTTCATAATAATAATTACATTGTGTTTTTAATTAAAATGAAAACATTTTTATCGTGTTCGTTAAACAGTGGCGAGCCGTCTCGTCGCCGTCGCGGCGTCGGCTCGCAGAGTGTACTAATTACTTTCGCCCGCGGGAACTAAATAACGTTAATGAGACAGACGGCCAGCGACGCTTTTATCATCAACTTTTGCTTTATTTCTCGGTTACAAATATCGATTTACTGCAAACATCTTCAGCACGAGATATTACTCATCCTATAAACAAGACAAGGAGATCGTAAATGACAGATTCAAACGTAGAGAATAAATAAAAATCTAATACGAATATATATTTAAACGCAACCGGTAATTTAATTCTAGAAATTCGAAACCAAAAAATAAACGTTTTCCTTAAATAAATTCCAAATTAAATCGTATTTATTTCGTAAAGAATTTAAAATATACATGGTAGAGTTCAACGGCCTTCGTTAAAAAAAACAGCCGCCCTAAAATCACAACGAAGTACCTATTTGTTAGTCCGGCAAGAAGGTTAAATATTTACATATGTAATTGATAAAATCAAACTGGAATATATGAATATATTGCTACATATTCATCTCTATTGATTATTCTAATTTAGGTGGTTTCTGATGCCTTAATATCTGTCAAACTTACATAAAAGGACCACCTTTACCGTGAGTCAATATCTCCATATAAAACATATGGTCATTCCTGTCATTATCTTTGACAACACAGAGATATCAATATGTTCACAGTAACTAGCCTTTAATTGATTCCGAGTGTTGGACAGAAGACATATAACTTCACAATGAGTATTACCGTAACCGAGTTCACAGGAATTGATGACTGATTAAGTTTGACCGGTATTGTGCAACCGTTACGACTGTGCAGATAACGAGTTCCGTACTGCTATACGATACACATAAAAATACGATAAGATAAAAGTTCGAAAAACTACGTTATGTTATAAATAACCGCATTACGTCATAGCCCGCTAAGGATAAGAAATGATTTATACGTTGTACCAAATAAATCTTAATCTACAGTACCTACTGTTTATATTATATATATTTCGACTTTCTTTAAAATGAGTAGTAATTGATAATTATACGTCTAAATAAATTTTACAAACACTAGCATATTTAAGCAAAACGATTATTTTTAATCATTCGATATTATCATATCTATCGAACTGAGAATACCGTATTTTATTTAATTTCATCGAGATCCATGCAGTCTTCTAAGAAACAACCATCCAAACATTTATACGTAAGATGAGACATATATCCCCCGGCCTTTTTACGGTATACAAATTACTTAAGTCCTTTGCGGTACACGCTAAAAATAACGACCTATAAAAAAATAACATAATAACACAGTTGATACAACGTTTAAAATAACTGTTTTCGATGTGTTACGCGATACACCTTATGTGGGCTGAGGAACTTTGTTTTTATATTGTTAACGATGTCTCGCGAAACATATAACAGTACAATAAATCAGAATACCAAACTCATTTATCTTTCCATGGAAACGACAAGGATGTGGTAATTTTATGTCTCTCGCTATTTATACGACGCTTTCGCTTTATGTTTACATTTCATAAAAATATTGGTTTTGTTTTTAAATACAGTTAACGGATGAACGTAATTAAGAGATTAGAAAAAAACGTTTCATCTCTCTACTGGATGGCGATATATATAATTAAGCGCTTTTTTTCTTTTACGTATATTTTATTTAGCTAGGTAACCTATTTCACAAATTCATTTAGAAAAAAACCATGAACGTAACTGTGTCTGTGGTCTGAAACTGTCTCGGTTTCCCCACATATGTCAGTACGCTTTATCATAAGGGTGTAAATACTATATTTAATATTTTGCTAATGAAATAGCTACTTGAAGTAAACGTGGGATCTTAAAAGGCTCAATCTACTGTGAATAACATTGCTCAAGATATCAATAACACAATACCAACTGGTTGGAATTGGTGGAACTGCTAGATGGATAACGAAAGCTTAATAAATCGAACCGCATGATTGATCATATTCACACCAACTTTTAGATATTAAACAAAATGTAGCCTAATACCTTAAAACTGAAAATCTTTCAATAATGTACCAAAATAGATATAGCACATTAGTATTAATGTTTAGAATAAATATTTTTTTAAATATCACAGAGTTAAAAATACCAAATCAAACAGAGCGTGAAACATCTAATAGACAGGGCCCACATCATACTAAAAATAACTTTAACCATTAGCGAGTTTCTAAACGATGGAAAATTTTATATATACAAAAAATTATCATTCATTTAAACTTTATTTGTAAAGATAGTTATAAAAAAAATCAACATGAACACGTGACGAAACGAATTAGAAGACTTCTATTTATTTTAATATTTAACCTTAGTAGTTAGCAACCTTAAGATCTCTAAGACATGATATTTCTATTCCAAAGTTAAATCAACATTTTCTTTCATTAATAGTACTGAGAATGGATTAAAAAGAACCATATACAACATCTCTAACAGGAAGTAGTTAACTATCTATAGTATACTGAATCTTACTTCTTACTTGTAACATTAACTATTATCTTACTAATATTATAAATGCGAATATATGGATGTTTGTTTGAAGGTTTGTCCGGAACGGCTTAACAGATCACAGTGATATTTGACATGGATGTAGAACATAGTCTGGAAGAACACATAAGGCTACTTATTAAGTTTTTTTTTAATTCCGTTAAGTTCTGGACAATGGAAAGAATTCTAAAAACAACATCGCATACATTAAGCTAAAGTATCTAACTGAAGTAAGTTCAAAACACTTTCCACGCTTCGTGAAAATCCTTCTGTCAGCTCATTTATAACAAACGCTGGGTTTAACGTCGCTTATATATTATTTATTTTACCATACTTTGTGTACTTTTGTTGTTTCTCAACTGACATATCTCTTTAAAATGCTAAACTGAACACTGAGTGAACTTTCAAAGAAGACATGTTAACCTGTTCTTCCTTTTTCGACTCAATCTATACTAATAAAGAAATTTGATTGTTTACATTGAATAGGCTTCGCAACTACTGACGCTATTTGAAAAAAAACCTTCCAATGTTGGGAAACTACATCCCAGGTGACATAAAAAATTAAGAAACAGCCACCTTTATATAAATTTAAACACATCACATTTAAAACACAATTGTAGATAAAATTCCAGACATTGCTCATTTATTATCAACTGTTTTTATCAACCAACATTTTAATACACACATTTTTAATTTGTAAAACATACATTGGTGGTACGACAAGTGAGCGCGTGAGTGCGAGAATGAAAGGAATGAATGCTTGAACATCGTTCCCGCGCCGCTCGGCCAGGTTCGTGAAATTTGGCGCAAACATCATTTCGTATAATTTTTTAATCGGACATATAATCCACAGTTGGTACTGTTAGGAAAATCCGACACAGTGCCGATGTACTGGCACAACACTAGCCTTACTAAAATGTCGACGTTTATGACCCCTCACTATTCATTCTGACAGTGGACTTTGGAACGAAAGCACGTCACTCGCGCCAAAGATTCTAATTAATAATGTCTAAAAGTACATTATTGCGTGTAACAAGTTGAATAAACTATACAAATCACGAGTCAATTAATTAGATTTTAATAATACAACAAACATTACGTTGCGCGTAATCTTATATATAAAATTCTCGTGTCACAATTTTTTCCCATACTATTTAGTAGGTCTGAGAATCGACCAACATCTATTTTTAAACCCGCGCGGACGGAGTCGCGGGCGACAGCTAGTCTATATATAAACTTCTGTTTGCCTGCTTTGTGTCACATGTTCCGAACATTTAATAACAACACTCGATACATGGTCTAATTTAAGCGCACTACCAAAATACCCAGTTTATTTGTGTAACCAATTTGTGTATAATGCTATTTCTGAATATAGTAATCATCATATCTCTGTTCTTATTCCACTCACGTAAGTAAGGAACACAACGATTTATAAATCTTAATGTTTTTGGCGTAATTTTAACTGCCGATGTGCCTATCGCGAATCATACCCAACCCTAATAAAAATGCCAAATCATAAATGTTTCATTACACAAATATATGTCGGAGAATATGATGACAAATTATGACGTTAATTATTTAATTCGAATGGTAACATCGCTTGTATGGTGTGTGATTGACGTCTGTCAGTGTCACTGTATCTGTCAGTAGTGCGCGTGGTCGTTTGACAAGTGATAGACTTGGTCTAGGGACAGCGCCTGCGCCGGTGTGCGCACTGACTGAATAAAGCAGTATCGTATGATATTGACCATTTAAATAACAAACCGCTCGGAAATCTTTGACATATATATCACAACTTATTTTTCAATTGGTAATGTTATTTGCTATTGTTATAATTACTTTTCTGTACACCCTTTGTATCGAGAGATAGTCCTAAGTTTTCATATAAAAAATCGACTAAAAAAATTTTTAGAAAGGAAAGTTTTCAATAACACTTCATGTGCAACCCTAAAAATAAATATATTTAATGTGGAAACCCTATTAAATTTAGATCTTTTGATACTTATTAGGTTATTAAATGAGAGAATGTCTTTGTTTTTGATATATAAAGCCAATTGTAAAATACTCACATAATCTACCGAAGCTAAGGGACAGGCGTTTCCTGAGCTTTTGCATTTTGCTCATAGCGCCTCCCCTTTTTTCTCTCATTGTCACGCCTGCGAACAAAAAACACCATTCGATAAACACAACCGTCAATTTGAGGCAAAAATTAAACACAAACAACGCTATCTTTATCCAAAAAAATAAAGATAAATAAAAACAAAACATATAAAAAAATCGATAAACAATTTCGAAACGCCAATAGCATATTTGTTATGTTACGTATTCCATCATATTATATCTTGCTGCTTTTAATAGCTTCAAACGTTTTATGGAACTTAGTTTTTTTTATATAACAGAAACGAGCAGCAGGAACACCGAGGTGTTCAACGATGCCCAAGGACATCAGCAATACCAGAAGAACCGCAGATGCGTTGCCGGCCTTTGAGATGGTGATACCCTCGCTTCTTGAAGGACCCTAAGTCGTAGCGGTTTGGAAATACCGCCGAGGACAGACTATTCCACAACACTGCTGTGCGAGGCAGGAAGTTTCACGCAAGCCGCACGGTTGTGGATTGCCAGCCATCGAGTTGAAGATTACGCTCGATTGTGTGCGTTAAATTGGCCAAAAAGACACTACTTTTTTTTTAATTTCTAACAAGTAAAAAATTCTGCTTAGACATTACATTGTAGAACTGTTTGTTATTATTACTATGATAGGTGATATAAATTAAGCTACATTACATAGTTAATGTTTATAAGCGTAAGTTAACTATGGCAATCCTATTTGCAAGTAATAATCCTAAAGACGTATAAACACGGGTATAAGACGATAAACGATAGCAAATTATCTTTCACGCAAAACAGAGGGAGATGGGCTATAAAGTAGGGATCACATAATCCTCAATTAATAACTCGATTTACAACCTCTAGTCATGCTAACACCCCTTAAATAACAATCTAATAGACAATAACTCGTCTCAACGGGCGTTCGCGTTTTCGCGTAAATTCTTGTTCTGTGCAACAGTTTCTTTTACGCTATTTTTGCGATGGGCGGGATATATGTTTTCATTTTCATGAATTATTTGTATACGCAGTGTACTATTTACGATGTAATGTGAATTATACTTTGCGCATCGTACATTCACAACCGTGGGTTTCCGAGTCCAAAATATCTGTTTAAATTGTGACGACGATATGTTTTATACAGAGATTATAGTGTCAGAAACCCACGGTAAGAGGAATAGTTAAAGGTTATATACAAAGACTACTAATCTATCTTTAATAAGCGACTAGTCTATGTTTTTCAACGTTCCTTGACAATATGACAAAAAGTAAGCAATCTTATATTTTAATAAAGTAGCGGTATATTTCCAATAACAAGGAATTATAACAATGACATTGTAAACATATAAATACACTTAGTAATAACAGTCTCGGAGTTCCTTTTGTTAGTTAGCGATTCGCGGAATTTCATAGTGTTATATAATTTTAGTACGTAATATTTGAATAATATACAGAGGAATTAATTTACGATGATACGCTTCTAGATTGTGTAAAGACTACGGAACGTAACAAAATATTTCGAAGATCATAAATCTAAAGTGTTTCCAATATTTACGTATATTAAATTTTTTATATATAGATTCAGTCCTCGCGGAATTTAAAAACCTAATTATTAATCTATAGTATTAAGTATCTTCCAGACTATGTTCTATATCTATGCGATCCGTGCAGCCATTCTGGAGTTACCTTTCACCAAACATTCGCATTTATAATATTAGTAAGATATCTTAAAAATACTATGATTTAAACAAATATACGAATAAGTTCCCGTAAAGGTAAATCATGTGATGAAGATATAACTTCGTATGTATAAATAAAAACCCGATTCAGAGATGAACATTGCTTATTATGACGTAACACAAATATCATATGACAGAGTGAGGTAAGAAAAATCTTATCAATTGTAAATCTAAATACTTAGTGATTGCTTGATAATTGTCATAAATATACTTGATAAGTTAAACGATCTCAGCTTTGATAACAAAAAAAATTGCAATAAAGTATCCTCTGTAGTACATAAAATTAAAAGCAAAAGAGTTAAATGGTACGAAGAAAACATTATAATTATGTGTATTCACAGCCAAAACAACAAACAAGAAAACATCTTGTCATCCTTCTCATTTTCCATTAAAATAAACAGAGATAGAAACAATGATAGATAACCCATAGTAACAAGTTTATTATCTCTGTTAACATTTCAATGAAAATTACTAATACGTCACTTCATTACATTTCCTAACTCTTTGTACTATAAGATACTAACAGCCGGACTATATTAACATAATAAACGAGACAATTGTAAATACAGAGCATTATAGAATAGACAATACAATGGTTGATACATTGTTTAAACGACACCGAGAACCACAGCTGCATCAGATCATACCAAGCACATCCAATGCATTGTTTACGATTCGAAACGGATGCGACTCCATTTGTATCAATATGGAATTTAAACTTGACACTTTTAAATTATTCAATATACAAAAATATATATACGAAGCAGATCAAATTGTCGATAAACAAAACATCTGTGGAATTATATGTACATATTTTTTTTTGCGATTGACGAAACATCTACGTGACGTATACCATTTGTTTTTTTTTCAGTATTACTAAATAATATTCTTATATACGAATCGCTGTGGGAAATAATCTCTAACAAGAACATCATAACTTGTTAAAACAATATATTTCTTTTGATAACGTATAACGCAAAATTCTTCAGAGTTGATGTGATACGTGGTTGTGAAAGAAATTTGATAACATGAATATAAAAATTCGGAATAAGTTTCCTCTTAGGACGGAGAAACTTCCAAAAACTTCGAATATATCTTTATTAGCGTAGAGGCAAGTTTTTGAAGTACACCGACGTGAAGATATCAAACTGCTATTTTTCCCGACAATGTCTGGTCGGACGGCGCTTGCCAAAAGCGCGTTTGGCGCCGCCGCGACGCCCCCCGCGTTTCGACGATATTTAATTTTATATTCTTTTATTTCTTCAGACACCACGAGCCGAAGTTCAACGACTTTCTCCGACACTTGACGATGTTATCTAAATATTTTTTGTCTGCTCGAATTTAGACCGCAAATTTTATTTTCGCCATGTGTTATTATAAAAGTTTTTATCGTCTCAGATTCAGTCCATCATATTTATACAAGCACATGACCTCAATATGATGACTAAATAATCTACCCCAAGATATATTAAAAAAACAACCGTTTATGTTTGGTAAGACTACATTCAATCGCTATCGACTTCAAGTAGTTTGGCTGAGATCCCAGACGGTGCGAGTGGGAACTATAGTCGCGAGCCATCCGACCGGTTTATCTCGGACAAACTGCATTGGATCCTACAGCGTTGGCCTAGAAAGCGAATCGCTCGTTGGAAATTACTCTCACGTCTCAATTAATTGAAACTGACAAATTTTATTTTGCCGATGTTGCATCGGATTGGAGTTGCTTATGAATACCTGAAGAAAAGCAATTGGTAGAAAATACATATCTAGAATGAAAGATATTGAGGCTTGAAATGCCGGATGAACTACTTTTATGCTATCAATACACGCAAATATAAAGACGTTAATTACATATTAAGCCCAGCTATTATAATAACCACAGATACTAAAAAATTAAACCACACACACCACAAATATTATAAAAAAAACGAAATTATCTAAATTTTGTAAAGAGTCGTATCAGTACACCTCCAAGAACAGCAGAGCTAGAACAATTTAAAAAAAAATAATTTCCTCACAAAACCAAAAGTTCATTGTTAGTAAGTCCGAAAAGACATTAGCCACGGTTCTAAACAAGTGAATGTGAGCAAGATCTCCGAAGAAGCTTTACTTTCGCAAACAAAAAGAAGTAATAGCAAATATAGCAAGAATCGAAAAGTAAAGAATACTGAATGTATACGAGCTGTAAAACTGTGCTAGTGTCAAGTTATTAACTGGATTTATGAAGTTACGTCAACAAGTAGATTACGGGCAAGTTTTACACAAGTAGTCGTTGCAAAGAGCTTTTACTGCACCATAAAGGTCACATTACGCACATTATGTATGTACTTCGTATTATGATTGAAAGTGAATAGGTATATGTATTAAAATTTGGTATTAAAAACTTAAAATGACATATCACTTCAACCAGAATGATATGACCAGGGCCGGCGTTAGGGTAAGGCGCGGTTGGGCGATCACCCAACGGGGGAGACCGTCACCGGCGACTGAGGGTTGCCTCCCCCCCGAGAGGGAGCTGCCTCTGCAGCTGGCGCAGACGGGGCCGCGGACGAGAGCGAAAGCGTGCCCGTGGCCCCGTCCCGATGCGTTGGAGGAACAGAGGGGTTTAGTGGGTATGCCTCCGCTATGGAGGAGAATGGGCGATCACCCAGGGCGCTGAATAGACAGGGGCGCGAATTACACTGTCTTACATAACCCAGTGAAGCCCCTCCTCCGGCATGGTAAAAAAAGGCGTCATAGATCTTGCCCTGAGGGTTAAGCTAAAACCGTTCAAGTTATGATCATACGTATTGGGCTAAGTAGTTCTCCATATTTAAGTTGTATAACAGAGACATGTCCCTTATAACATCAATAGTTTTGAGGTTTTTTGTGCAAACAGACCCTTATAACGCATCAGTGAGCAATAGGCCTTATGATAACACGGCCACTATATGCAAACAAGGCTCACTATCTAATCTGACAGAGTGACGGCAAGCGACAGCAACCGTGTCCGATGTACGCACATAATTTGTTACACCTCGTCGTACGCATTGTAGAAAGTCAAATGTTTGTAATACCTATGTGTACCAGAATCTTAGCTGATATATACGAAATTGACGCGGTGTTTATTAGGCCCTTAGTGTAATTTCAAATTAAGGAAACAACAAGATTGACTGGAATCTTTTAATACGCTTACGTGATGCAATCATATAATGCCTTAGAGAATGCTTTTGTAGGCAATGATTATTGATTGTATTTAAGTAAATGTATTCAAAACATTTTTGATTAATATTAGTATATAAATATTTTATACATTGGGTGCTCATAAAATA